CATGCAGCAGGCTGCAATTGCTCAGAAGCACCAGCACCACCACCAACAACAACAACAACAGCAGCAGCAGCAGCAGCAGCAACAACAACAACAACATCAGCAACAAATTCAGCAGCAGATGCGCATCGCCTCACAGATGTCCCAGCATCCCAGACAAGGAGGTCCACCACAGATAACTGGTATACAGCAACCGGTATGTTAGAGATTAGATATTTTCTGCTTTCCGTGCATGTCTGGTTTATTCTGGTCAAGCTGGTAGACCAGTATAGATGTGCTGTTTATTACAGTTTGTTTATTCCCGATTGTATGATTTGTTCATGTAAGGACCAGGTTATCATTTCTTCCTCTGTCTCTCTCTTTTCAGCCACCAAGGCTCATTAGTATGCAGGCCCTCCAGAGGGGTGGGGTTAATGGCTCCTCCCACATGTACCCACCTCATCACCTGCGCATGGTATCAACGCAGAATCGCATGCCTTCGGCACAGCCCCGACTCAACGGGCAACCGTATCCTATGATGCAGCCTCAGTTACAGAGACAGGTCAGTGCAGAGACTCCAGCGGGTCATATAGCAAAAACCCAAATTTTAAGATGTCACTCTCTTTTCTTTCACTGTTTTTGATCTCTATTAGAACAGAAGAAATGAAAGCGAAAGCAGTTGTTTTAAAAATATATATATTTTTATGTTATTTAGGGTTGCGAAAGGAGGAAAATTTCTGGTAAATTTCCAGAACCTTTCAAAAATTTTCGAAAGTTTCCCAAAAAATTCTGGAAATTTTCTGCCTCGTTGCAAACTTAATTTTATTGTGTCTAAAACATTGTGTCTAAAATCTCATGCTACATTATTATTATTATTTTTTTTTTACTCTTTTAAAAAAAACAAAATTAAGCAATTATTGTGATTTAATGAGAGTGAGCATTTCTGTTATTGACACCAACAAAGCATGTGACAGGCTCCTGTAGGTCACATGACATAAAGCCAATAGGTGTGTTCGACTTAGCGCAGTGCTGTGCAGATCGATCAAAATCTGACATGAAGCAGTGCATGGCGGTTAGAAATTTTGTCCAACTTGACAAAAGTACTGCAAGAGCGTTTCGAGAGCAGCTGGCTGACTCAGCCGGCGCAGCTTTTTCAGAGCGACTGCTAGGGTTGGATACCGAAACCCGGTACCAATATGACACCGGTACTATATAACCGGTATCTACTAGAACCGAATCAGAACGCAGATTTCGGTGCCATGCCTGAGTGATAGATTGAAATATTTGTCCTCTGGTTCTCCGAAAAGGACGTAAGAAGCATCATCACCGGCACCGCACGTGAAAAATAATTTCCCGACTGAGATAATGTGCATGAACTCAAGTCGGAAAACTTTAATAATACAAATCCAACTAATTTTTGTAGTAACGAGAGTGTCCATATTGTTTTCCCATTCCGACTTAAAAGCACAACTCGGGAAATGAGAGCATTCGAGGAGTGCGTGAATGCAGTAATTACACTTGCTCTGATGGCAGCAGGTAGCCTTCCGTTAACTCAGCTAAACATGCTTAAATTAAAATGCCTAAAGCTAAACCTCCCTTGTATTCACATTTCTAAACCTGTTGTCCAACAAAAGAGAACATTTTATAACCTTATTACTCCGCAACACCAGTCAAATGTTTCCTTTTGTGATCTGATGTGGCTTCTTGTCACAGAATGAGGCAGAAAATATGTTCCATAGGCTACTTTAAAAAGAATACTGTGGATTTTCCATGCAATGAAACAGACATCATGTGTTTCTAGTGCTAATGGCCAATCCATAATTTTGGGGGGAATTTTTATTTATTTATTTATTTTAAAAAGTATTGATTTGGCACCGGTATTGAAAAAAAAACCCAAACGATACCCAACCCTAGTGACTGCAGGAGCGCTGATGATGACACAGCTGTTTCACGATTGGCCAAATTCACCACATGACAACAGTGACGTGTGTTTTGGGTTTATTCTAACATCTTCAATTCCAGTACTGCTCACAAATCAGTGTTTTTAGAACAGTAAAAGCTTTTTTACTGTAGTCGCAATGTTATATTGAGTCACGTTTATCAAAAAAACACTGATAAAAGCATATATACCCCCACTTTATTGGTATTTAAATAGTATATGTTTATGTTGAACTTGATTCTTGAACAGATGATGCTGTATTAAGCAGTATATAAAAAGTGTTTCTGTTGCTCATGAAAACGTTTCTGAAATGTCTGTGTATTTGACAGATATTGCATGGCTCTGCCCTTCGAAGGGAGTAGGGCATAGGGATGCTCACTTCTGTGTGGAATTCGCCCCATGTCTCTTGTATCACTGCGGAGGCGCGGACGTGCTCTCTCGTTTCTTTCAAATGCAGCTTACGCTTCAGTTTTTGATTGTATTGAAAATGAAATCAGAGGAATTTAGTATTAATGCTACTATAATTTTACTGTAGTGATCATATTGTCCTGACGATTGTTTTGTACACTGCTCATAATGGATTTATAAACGGGTAAGATTTCAAAACATTCATCTCAATTCAATATTTCATATCCCATCCCCGTATTTATATATTATTATAGGTAAACAAAAAAAATCTGTGTAATAAGTTAACTATGAATATACAATACATTATCCCTTAAATGTCAACCTTATAGTTTGCACGTTCGTTCGTCTTGGCTCAAAGCCACTTGCTGCGAACTTTTCTTCACGGAAGCTTTGCGTTAAACAAGTGAGATAACGAAATATTTAATCTCGAATCAATATTTTTCGTCCAATTATTAACCCAGTTAGTTTTGGTACTGAGGTAAAAGTTACCTTGCATTCGCTATATAACAGTGGGTGGTGGTCACGAAGATGAC